TATAGGCAAATTGAACAAAACATTTCAAGAAAAATGACAAGAAAAACTAAAAATGAAGCATAAAACTCCGAAAAGTAGTTTTAATTGCTTAAAGTTAAGTTTTAAAGTCTCAACTTAGGAATAATTAAGCTGTTGTATTTCTGATCGATCGCTTTCTGCGCTCGAAATTAGACGAAAAATCAAAAATTTCAAACCGGTTGTTCTCGACACTAGATAAAATTTTCGGGATTTTTAAATGTCGTTCAAAGCTTGACTGAAATGGCTTCAATATGTATCACTCAACCCTGTCCGATGATTATTTGTGTTGCCTGATTTTGCGTGGAAAACAAAGAAAGAAAACTAAAACAGACGCGAATGTAAAGTTTTACCCAGTGTCAATGGTCTGAACAATAAGAACATCGAGTTGCTAAGCAAATAGCACAGAATGCTTCGACCGTGTTCTTATGAAAATAAATGTAAATTTCTTCGTTTTTTTAATGGGTGTTTTTTTTTGTGAGTGGTGTGATGAAAGGATCTGACAAATAACTAAGGCATTTTATCATATTCGACAGCCACTGATAAATAGGCAGATTGGGCAATAGCTTTTGTCGAAAAATGAGTGGTTAAAAATCAGAACATTTTCTAATGTTTTTGCAGAAAGTGTTTGAAGTGTTTTGTTTTTAAAACGGCATTAAGAAAATGGAATAAACAATGATTTACTGCAATGAAACTAAAATCTGATGGCTAATCCTTCTATAATTTGCTCGAAATTAGACTAAAATTCTGAAATTTAAAACCGGTTTTTCTTGACATTGGGACAACTTGTTGAAATTTTTTGATGTCGTTTGAATCACGACTCAAAAAGGGCGTTAGTTTGTTAAATCAGTCGGCTCATTCGGATGACTTTTTGTGATAAATTTTTTTGGTTGAAAATCAACATAAGCTTGTTTTCTGGTGTTGCTTGTAGCTGCAAAAGTAAGGGTAGTCAAAACCGTGTCTTCATTGTCTTTTATTTCAATACTCGACAGTTGAAGATTATGGAGATGGATTAATTGTTTCGTCCCGTCCGTCAAGCAGAAACAGTGGTTTTTCCTGGGCTCGCTAAGAGCGGGAACAGAGCAAAACTCCATATTCCAGTTTCAGCGGACGGTTTTTAATTAGTGCAGAGAACCTAGGAAGAAACTTTGTGCCCTCTTTTTGTCAATTTTTAGAGATGTTGGCTTCGATGAACGTTTAAAGAGGTTATATATGTCATACGGACTAACGTAACAGTTTGGGTGATCGTTTTTGATGTTTTTGTCCAAACTCGACAGATTGTTGCGTGCTATGTCCACAGCGGACTTCTGCAAAATACGTCGTGAAATTCTGGGAAGGCTGTTTTCTTGCAAAACTGGTTCTGGAGCTTGAAGCCCATCAGTTTGGAGGGATGTTTCAATACGTAATTTTCACTTCATATGGATGAATTGTTTTAGGAGCGACTTTGTATTGATCTGGCGGTATGCAATCGTTTTGATCAAGATGGTTTCGCTTTTATTATTTATGGGCATGGTGTGGTTTTTTAAGTCTCGACATCGAGTTGTGTGGTGGTCACATCGTTTGTATTGATGTCAGCCAGCTGAAAATTTGTTTGTGTTCTTTTGCTGGCAGTGTTTTAGTGCAACAATGAAGGTGTTCAAATGGAGCCTTTTTTGTGCAGCCATTGCAGTTCTAAATGCGAATTTGAATTGAATGTCTTTCCGTCGAGATTTATTTACTGAAGTTGGCCAGACAGGAGCTGCGTAATTTTGAACACTATGCCCTATGACAGAACAACAAATTTTCAATTATCAGAACAACAAATGCGAACCATGTTTTAGCAGATATTAAGGTCTGGAAGTTTTCCTTCAGGAATCCATCTAAATTTAAAGGGCCCAACTATCTTGCATGTACCTCCGACATTTTAAATCGCACAATTATGCTTTTTTCCAGGTGTACTGAGTTTCTCTAATTCATCCATTTTTATGCTAGCATCAGCTTAGTGTAAAAATTCAACCCTGTCCGATGATTATTTGTGTTGCCTGATTTTGCGTGGAAAACAAAGAAAGAAAACTAAAACAGACGCGAATGTAAAGTTTTACCCAGTGTCAATGGTCTGAACAATAAGAACATCGAGTTGCTAAGCAAATAGCACAGAATGCTTCGACCGTGTTCTTATGAAAATAAATGTAAATTTCTTCGTTTTTTTAATGGGTGTTTTTTTTTGTGAGTGGTGTGATGAAAGGATCTGACAAATAACTAAGGCATTTTATCATATTCGACAGCCACTGATAAATAGGCAGATTGGGCAATAGCTTTTGTCGAAAAATGAGTGGTTAAAAATCAGAACATTTTCTTATGTTTTTGCAGAAAGTGTTTGAAGTGTTTTGTTTTTAAAACGGCATTAAGAAAATGGAATAAACAATGATTTACTGCAGTGAAACTAAAATCTCATGGCTAATCCTTCTATAATTTGCTCGAAATTAGACTAAAATTCTGAAATTTAAAACCGGTTTTTCTTGACATTGGGACAACTTGTTGAAATTTTTTGATGTCGTTTGAATCACGACTCAAAAAGGGCGTTAGTTTGTTAAATCAGTCGGCTCATTCGGATGACTTTTTGTGATAATTTTTTTTGGTTGAAAATCAACATAAGCTTGTTTTCTGGTGTTGCTTGTAGCTGCAAAAGTAAGGGTAGTCAAAACCGTGTCTTCATTGTCTTTTATTTCAATACTCGACAGTTGAAGATTATGGAGATGGATTAATTGTTTCGTCCCGTCCGTCAAGCAGAAGCAGTGGTTTTTCCTGGGCTCGCTAAGAGCGGGAACAGAGCAAAACTCCATATTCCAGTTTCAGCGGACGGTTTTTAATTAGTGCAGAGAACCTAGGAAGAAACTTTGTGCCCTCTTTTTGTCAATTTTTAGAGATGTTGGCTTCGATGAACGTTTAAAGAGGTTATATATGTCATACGGACTAACGTAACAGTTTGGGTGATCGTTTTTGATGTTTTTGTCCAAACTCGACAGATTGTTGCGTGCTATGTCCACAGCGGACTTCTGCAAAATACGTCGTGAAATTCTGGGAAGGCTGTTTTCTTGCGAAACTGGTTCTGGAGCTTGAAGCCCATCAGTTTGGAGGGATGTTTCAATACGTAATTTTCACTTCATATGGATAAATTGTTTTAGGAGCGACTTTGTATTGATCTGGCGGTATGCAATCGTTTTGATCAAGATGGTTTCGCTTTTATTATTTATGGGCATGGTGTGGTTTTTTAAGTCTCGACATCGAGTTGTGTGGTGGTCACATCGTTTGTATTGATGTCAGCCAGCTGAAAATTTGTTTGTGTTCTTTTGCTGGCAGTGTTTTAGTGCAACAATGAAAGTGTTCAAATGGAGCCTTTTTTGTGCAGCCATTGCAGTTCTAAATGCGAATTTGAATTGAATGTCTTTCCGTCGAGATTTATTTACTGAAGTTGGCCAGACAGGAGCTGCGTAATTTTGAACACTATGCCCTATGACAGAACAACAAATTTTCAATTATCAGAACAACAAATGCGAACCATGTTGTAGCAGATATTAAGGTCTGGAAGTTTTCCTTCAGGAATCCATCTAAATTTAAAGGGCCCAACTATCTTGCATGTACCTCCGACATTTTAAATCGCACAATTATGCTTTTTTCCAGGTGTACTGAGTTTCTCTAATTCATCCATTTTTATGCTAGCATCAGCTTAGTGTATTGTTACGAACCTTCTGTTTTTTCTAACCTAACTCGCAAATGGTGGTTTTCATTAGTGTTCACTTATTTGGAAATTTCACTGTAGCATGGGAAGTTGAATAGCATCTGTTGTCTCCTTTATTTGTTTCTAGTGTTTGGCTATTAAGTTTCCTTGGCTGAGTAATTATGGTGTCAGACTCTTAATATCTAGATCGCAGGTTCGAATCTTAGACGTAGCCGCATGCTTTGCTAACTCGAGGCTTATTTTTACCTTTTCTTATTGCACTTGATAGAGCTGCGTTTTTGTCGTCTTCTCGCTAGTGTTTGCGAAGCTTCTGTGTAGAACATTTGCAAAGCCTCAATTCTGATAGAAGTTGCTCTGCATTTGATTTTTAGGGTTATGTCAGATGAAATTCAAACTGCGCGAGCCTTCAAAATGTTATAATCAATATAATCATCTATACAGTGCTGATTTAAATGCGCGTTCTTTTCAAATTGGCTAAAAAGTCGGTGCAAAATGATGAGAACAAAACTTTTAAAAAAATAAACTGAAATTTTTAGCAGAATTAATATAGTGTCGTTTGTTTTGTGAATTTCTGACCCAAAAAGGAACATTTTTGGCGTTTTAGTCAATCAAAAGTTACTCTAAACTATCGGGTCAATTACTGACAAAACAATTTCATAGTAAGTCTCTTAGGTATCCCAACAAAGTTCTAGAAGGGTATAATCTTTAAACAAATTGTAAAAATTAAATGATTTTGATTTAATAGCTAAAAATTTAAACTATAAATTTACTATATTTACTAATTTTTACGTTATTTTTACTAAAGATTTGTGCTATAAAAAACACCATGTTTTTTATTTAAAAACATTGTTACAATGTTTTGCGAAATTTTTTCTTGATGATACCCTTCTTTAAGTTTATGGCTCTAGGTAAGAGCCTCACTTTGATATAATTCTGTTAGTAATTGACCAAGTAGTTTTAGCGTAATTTCTAATTTACTAAACCAAAAAGGACCTTTTTTGGGGTAAAACTTAACACAGAATTTCGCAAAACAAATTGCACCATTTCATTTCTGCTAAAAATTATTCTCATCTTTTTTCACCTAATGGCAACCCAATTTGAGAAAAATGCGTCTTACGTTTCAAGTTAAATGCTTTTCGTCAGGATAATTTAAGTCAGCTTTTTTTTGCTGTTTCCTTTTGCTTGAATAGATCTTTCGTTTAAAACTTTAGTTAGCTTCTTCCACGCAATTTTTTTGATTATGCTGGTGACCAATCTTTACTTTCAGAAGCCCTAGAAGAGATAAAATTGTGCCCAAGTCAAGTAAACATGAGAGGGATCGCAGTCCTCGGCGTCGTTCTAGAACTCCTCCAAAATATGACCCTCGAATTTATGATCCGAAGGGAAGAGCAATATCCAAAAGTCCTTCTCGTCGTAGACGATCAAGATCTCCAAGTCCGTGGAGGAGGTAACTTTCAAATTTTCATCTGTTATTGTTGTTTCATTCAAATAGTTCGTTGTAAAACGCCTTAAAGCTCATTGACGCGTGATCAAAATTTTTTGTTTTGGTTAAGCTAATGGGAATGGGACGTTTCTCGTAACATTTCCAATTTTGTTTCGACTACCTCCGTAGGGTGGCAAGGAATTATGGCATGGGGTGTTTTTGCCTTCCAGATTTCGACCACCTCTAGGAAATCTCGTTGGTTCAAGTTTCTTATCATGAAAAAGCTTGATTTTATTTAAGTATCATCTGAATTTTTCCGTTGTTCAGACAGACCAAACTTCTCGAAATTTGATGACAATCAATTTTGTTTCACTGTAGTTTTACTGCCTAATGAAATCGCTCTTTGTTGAAAAAGGTCAATAAATTGAAAGAAAAAGCTAGATAATTAAATTACTTATTTTGCCTTACTTATCTTTTTAAATCATGGTGGTCGGAACATTCTCTGCTACCTGCGCAGCAACTGGTTATCCCTAATTCTATATGTAATCTTAATGTTTCAATTTTTCCCAGGAAACCAGATGTAATCCAATTGACTCAAGAAGATCGAGACGTCAGAACAGTGTTTTGCATGCAGTTGGCAGCCAATATAACTCCCCGTGACTTAGAGAAAGCTTTTGCATGTGTCGGAACAGTAAGTATTTTTTCAGGACAATTTTCCGGATGGCATAATTTGAGCGGTCTTTTACCTCTAGGTTCGGTAATCTTTCTAATCTTTCTCACTAATTATTTTGTTTAGGTGCAAGATGTGCGGCTCATTGGTGACAAACATGGCAGACGATCGAAGGGAATTGCCTATGTAGAGTTTCTGGAAATTGAATCTGTTCAGAAGGTATGGACTAAGCGCTCCGACCGATTGCGTCATAGTCTCGCTCAAAAGATGTGTGGTAGTAAACAAAAATCGAGTATAAAAGTTTATAAAGAAAACCAGATGAAGTTAATTTCAATTACCATTAGCATTTGGGATCTTTGAAAGCGCTAACAAAAACGTTAATCAAACTGCTCTGTTGAGGTTACATAGTTTTGAATTCGACGTGGGCTATAGATTTGAAATTTGATTGCTTCTGATTCTATATCGGGTTGATTTAGACTGAAGTGAAGGAGCACTCATCTCTAATGCGAGTCTGTTTGCTATTCTAGATTGGTGAGTGAAGCACGGGTCATGTTTGAGTGATGCGACTCGACAAGTCACTTCTCTAGTTCGCTTTACTTTTGGTCTCCACTGAGTCACGCTGGTCCAATGAGACTCTTCTCTCGAGTCGAGAACGAAACAAAATACTTTTAAGACCATGTTTTAGATTGAATAGGAAATCAAATCAAGCTTTCAACTAGCTCTTTGCCTCCGTGTAAGGCTGGTAAGCGAAGTAAATGACACAAAAGCGATAAATCAATTTTGAAACCTGAGTTTAACCAATCAACAATAATAAAATTAAGAATGCCTAGATGCAAGGAGCAGCGACGGAGAAGACAATCGATGGTGCTCGGTTCGGTCAGCAAATGGCGTTTTTCATTTTGTTTCTTTTAAAACTGTTTTTCTCCGTTTAGATATCTGAATCGGATATGGGAAGGATCATGGTTGATGACTAACAGCGAACGTATTTTTTAACGCTCATGGTCCTGTTTGTTAAAATCACAGATGTTTATGCGAGAGAGCGAAGTGTTATTGAGAAACTGAAATTAGTTCTCAAGGTTCGTTCTCTTTGGCTATAATAATTTTGCTTCAGGCTATTGGAATGACTGGGAAGAAAGTCTTGGGAGTTCCCATAATTGTGCAACCGAGTCAAGCAGAGAAAAACAGAGTCATCAACCAGAGTCAAACGTTCGTCGGAGGAACGGGAACATCAGTGTTCGGCTCTATGACTGGACCTACCAGGCTATTTGTGGGATCTTTACACGAGAACATAACTGAAACTATGTTGGAAAATCTGTTCAAGCCTTATGGGAATTTAGAGAAAATCGAGCTGGTCAGAGACCCAGAAAGTGGAACCTCGAAAGGATACGCATTTGCTACGGTAAGCATGATTTTTAGCTGAACATTTTACATCGCACTATAATTATTTCGACGATTTCACAGTGGGAACGAAGTATGGCGTGTGCTGGGATTTTACGCCCGAAATTTTGGCTACTTCAAAAAAAGTTCATAGGCAGTAAATTGTGGTATCATATTAAAGACCTTTCAGCCGTGAAAATGACGAAAAATTTGAAAATGACGTGAACAAGAGACGAGAGACTGTATTCTCAATTTAATTATTCTGTTATTTTTTCTCACCATTTTAGCTATCGTTGCTGGAAAAACCCGAAGTTTAAGAAAAAGTGAAGAACATGAATTTTCGGTTTTTAAAATAGTCTTGTAGTTATTACTGCAATCGGGTCCTAGACTTTTTACTGTTAAAACTTTGGTCACAGGACTTATTTGGAAGTTGTTCTTTATCTTGGTCGTAGAATTAACAATTTGTAAATTTGTACGATTTTGTAAAGTTTCTAATAATTGTCATATAAAAGTTTGGTTGGCTTAAAAAATTTTGGTTAACGCTATGTCGTCTAGCCTCATTTTAGGTAATTTGCATATGAAAAATTTTACGCTGAGGGGGACTTGAGAGTTTTTTTATCCTGTATCCAATGATGTTGGCTTAGTTACCGCTCTGCAAATTTTGTTTTGTTAATGTGATACAGCACTTACTGCAAGTGCAGTAGCCATTGTGATATTGCTGCACACTGACCTTGGGACTCATATTGTTATTTATAATTATGCTGTTATATTGTTATTAACTTAGTATCAAGGTCACTTGGTGTGGACCATCAAGTTGATTCAGTTTTTAGTCAAGCTCCGCGTACTCAAGATACGTAGTTATGAGCTGGTTCGCGGAACCGAGAAAACTGAAAAGACAAACTTAGCTTCAAAGATTAAATTAACGCTTTGAACAAAACAATTGTTTTCAAATTGAGTTACACAATTGCATTCCCTACACAGTTAAGAAGGCTAGGTTGTGAATGCTGAATTAATGCAGCCAGCTGTACTTTTTGATATATTTTTCTCCAAAGAATTTCATGCTAGTCAAATAAAAATTTAATGAATGTAGTTTTTGTATTTGTAATCATTTTTCCCAGTTGAGAGTGATGAGCGTAGTGGTTACTCTTGTATAGGTATTGGTTTTTTTCAGGAAAAAGTTTTAATGCTCTAATACCTACAGAAATGCATTCATTCGTATTTATGAATTCAACTAGGTATATATACACTTTCTGGATACAATTCCAATTAAATAAAATTTGGGTAAGTTGCTTTCTCGATTTTCGAAAGCGAAAATGGCACGAAACTACGTGATTGACTTTAAATTACGAAAGTGGATTTTAGTTTTCAGATTTTCCAACGGAATGAAAAACTACATAATGATCCAACTTTCGATCAATTGTCAAAAAGTGACAATCGTTAAGAGTTCTTGAGATTCTAAGAGCTTTAAGGGCATATATTTTTCTTTAAAAATCGCAAGTTGAATTTTTTTTTTCAAAAAATAAATCCGTTTTTTTTTCAGTTCCCTTGCGCTCATTACTGTTTTCCAACTGTCAGTTGGCTGTTTTTTTTCGATTTCGTGACATCCGGCTCATTTTTGTCGGCTAGATTGCCATGCAATATATTAGGGGTGAGATATCATAAGTGGTGCGACGATAATTTAAACCCAATTTGACTTATGATCTGGCCAATTTTAGTTTAACGACAGTGAGTGTGGTAAAAAAGCAATGGAGCAGCTGAACGGATTCGAGCTGGCAGGCAGGCCTATGAAGGTGAATGCTGTCATAGCCAGACAGGAAGTGGCCAATCCAATGCACTCACTGGACACGGAGGACGCTGAGAGAACAGGGGTGGAGCTAGGTCAGACCGGACGATTGGGCTTGATGGCTAAATTAGCCGAAGGTTAGTGAGCCGAAAGTCCAACTGAATATTGTTCAATCGATTCGAGTTTTTGTGCTGTATGCATGCATGATTTTCAATACAAACTCAAGTACTTACCTTATTGTTTTTAAGTGCCCTAATTTGAAATATAGTACGGAGGATAACAGTGCTATCTAAGAATGAGAAATTTCTAACAAAAGTGATCAAATATATTTTTGCGGAGTGAGTTTTAACTGGGATGCACATCCAAATTAATTGGGGCATGATGTATTTCCAGTTTTGTTTAAAATGACAGTTTTCTAGGGACTGGGTTTAAAATCCCCAAAAGTGCAGAAGCCGCTTTGACCATGAGAGAGAAACAAATTCAAGCACAACTGGACGCCAGCAAAGCAGCAGCCACAGCAGCCGGACACTTCAACTCAACCCCCTCGGGAGGAGGTAGTAGCAGTGGACCGGGTACTCCGAACTCGAACTTCAATTCTTCCTCATCATCCGCTAATCCGCACGAAGGCAAGAGTCAGTGCTTCCTGTTGCAGAACATGTTCAACCCTCAGCTGTAAGTGGCCAGTCGAAAATTATGTGGTTGAAGTTTCATTTCTGAGAACTCGTCTGTTTTGTGGAAAATATAATGGGTGTCAGATGTATTATTATGTGTGAAAAACAAAATGATTTTCATGTATTTAGGTTTCATGATTTTTTTTTTAGTAATTTTTTAAAATGCTCTAATAACTACAGAAGTGCTTCAAACACATTAATGCATTCAAGAACATATTAATGCATTCAAAGTTATTTTCAGTTTAATTCGAGTTCATCTGCTAAAAGTTAGGAAATTGCGCTCTCCAATTACAAACGCGAAAATGGTGCGCATAAACTTGATCGATTTTTAGTTTCGATAGTTGATTTTATTTTATAGGTTTCCCTGCGGAATAAGAAATTTATTTATCCGTTGTTGCTCGTATTAGCCTAATTGTTGTGATAAGCGAATGTATATGTATATAGCCTCATTATTGTCATAAACGAATGTAGATATTCCAGTATTCCGATACAAAGGCCAGACTCCTTTAGGCGATCTTTTTTTTAGGTCGACTGAATTGATTTTTCGAGCTCTGCCTAAGCACTGTTTAGTCCCTGTTTTGGCCAAATTTTCTGCGCCGCAGGCAAAATTTTGAAAAAACAAGCCAAAAAAAGGCGTCTTTAGGCTTTTTTTGGAAAATGTTGACAAAAAAATTGCGGTTTTTTTGCGCGCGCTCCTCAAAGTTGGTATTAGTTGGCGGCCAAGGCGCTTTTAGAAAAATCTTAGGATCGGTCGGCCAAAAATGGATTTCTTAAAAAGTACCAAATGGGAGACCCTTTGGGTCGGCAGGGGGTCGAATCCCTGAGAGGGGGCCTCCGCCCCCCTAAATCCTCCCCTGATTGTACCAAAAAAGGGGGCATGGTCAGCGCTGAGTTCGATTCTGATTGGGCGAAGAAAAATCAATGATCAAGAAATTTGGAGAAGGCTATGAAACAAACTATTGAAAAACAAGTGGTCACAATGCTAGGGTTCCTTAAGCATACTAAAGAGCAAGAAAAAACTCGGCAATCTTCAACTATTGAATCAGCATGGCCACTTGAATCAGCATGGCCACTTGAATCAGCATGGCCACTTCGAGCTTTGACAAGTACAAGAAGAGCGACAGCTTACACTGCAAGCGAGGTCTCTAGGAAGGTGGCATGGTCTTAGAATTCTCCCTAGATGACCTTACGAGCTGTTTTTAATCAACAGTAACAGTCAAATCGAGTCCTAATGGTGCAGAACTTAAAACTTTTGGAAATTACATTTTTTTCAACAATGAATATATTAATACACCATGAGGAACTAGAAGCGCTTATAAGTAGTCTTGAGTCACCACCAAAATGATAGCAATGAGCGAAACCTGGCTGAATGAATCAGGCGACACTAACTGGTTCAAAGTTGAAGGATTTGAATTATGTGTCTCAAAATGCAAATCTGATATGAAAGGGGAGGCGTTATGACTAATGTGATAACCACTGTGAAATTGTTAGAGAAATCGATTGTTCACTAACGGAATTGATCATTATTCATTTAAGGTACTAGTAGTTACTTATACTATAATATTGATCGATAAGCCTTCAACACAGACAAAGTGTCTTTCATCGAGGATTTTGATTAGTCTTGTGGAGCAACTGGCATCTCAAAAATTTCCAGTTATTGTCTGCGGTGACGTTAATATTGATTTACTCAAAAAGAATCTAGCAACATTCAAAATAAATAGCTCAAAAAGAATCTAGCCAGTTTCGGAAACTTGCATAGATAATTTTTTCTAGAAGGGGTATAGATCAGCACGAGGTTCATTTACTGAAGATCGAGTTTTTTTGTCATATTCAAGTCGCATTACAAGTTTGAATCGTAATACTAAATCTGAGAGCTATACAAGCTACAGAGACATTTTTTTTGCCTAAAGTAAGAGGCAAAATTATTTGTTCAAAAAAGAGCTCCTACGAGAATTACGATTGCTAAATTACGATCTGGAAAACAGATGATTGTTTTGATTAATTCAAAGGCACGTTTGCAGAGGATATTGACAATTACGCCCTTGATACAACGCAAAGATTTACTAATAAATAATTTAACCAAAATGGTTCTTAAGTAGTCTGAAAATTATGATCCGCAAAAGAAATAAACGTCATAGTGCTGGGGCTTTTAACAAAACCAATCGGAATGCTCTAGAGCAATTTAGTTTTCTTAGTGGTAAAGTCGAGAATGAGCTGAAGAAAACCGAAGAAATGTTTTTGTTTTTCTAAAATTGAATTTAAGATAGCTTGAGGAAAAAATTTACGATGTAATCCAAATGAGGAAAAAATTCATGATATAATCAAAGAATTAATCAATAAAATTTCTGCTGGGCTGGATGTTTTTTTTAGAAACATATTTATAAAATAAGCATGCGACAGTGTTTCCCCATTAAACCAAAATAGTAAACTCATCAACGAAGAACGGGATCTTTTTTTATAATTTTTTAGCCAAGCTAGGGAAGGAGCAAAACTAGAAATGGGCGTGTTTGAAAATTGCATGCGCAGAGGATTATACAGTTATATGGAGTCCCTTTTTTAAAAGTTTTTTGCGAACTTTTAAAACTACCGGCCAAAAACTGTTTTTTTTAGGCGCGGGCTCCCCTGTATTTTTGAAATTACTATATATGGCGCCTTCAGTGGTCCGAAATGGATGTCCTAAAATAGTACCAAAAAGGAACCTCTAGGTTATACAGGGGTGAAAATATTGAGGAACTTTGGCTTAAAACTATTTTTAAGCCTTGCTTATTCAATACTTCTGAACCAGAGATCAATAGTCTTGTCACAGAAAAGTTTCATGACTCGTGTTTTTGCTTCAGCGGGCATAATTAATGTGAGCATAAATTTAACAATATTTAAACGCAATATTCTAATTACTTCAGCTATTTGCTTGACTCCAATCAATCAGGTCATAGCATTCTCACTTCAGTTTTCATATTTTTAAATTCAGCTGTTTTCGGCCTTATGACAAGATAAATGTAATAAGAGTACTCTTATGATAAGATTCTTTTCTTGCTATGATAAGAATACTTGGAATTCCAACTTGAATATGTCTGCAGTTTTAGAGTTTCGTTATCTAGCATGATCTGTCGCTTTAGTGAACACCAGCCAGGGTGGGACGAAGAGATACGCGATGACGTGTTGGAAGCATTGGCTCCCCACGGAGGGGCAGTGCACCTGTATATAGACAGACAGAACCCCCTCGGAAACATTTACATCAAGGCCCCTGAGCTGAAGAACGCAGAGAGTGCAATCAAGAGCCTCAATGGAAGATACTTCTCAGGTCAGTTGCCTCTTTTAACATCCCTTTCCCCAACTACGACTTTTAACGTTTGGAAACTTTAAACCAGATTGCTATGAAATTTGACATCCTTGCTAATTATTCAATTACATAACTTGATCATTTCATTGGGTCAGGCACAATCAATTTCAGTTTTTCAAAATCCATTTCAGTTTTTGGTAAGGGAAATGGCAAAAGAGTCGGTCACTACTTCTGCTGATCAAATTGGGTTCAGCTAAGTTTGCCGAAGTGTCATTTATTTACTTGTGTTATTGATTGGCTCATCAATGATACTCCAATTTCTCTTTTATGATCTAGACAGACCATATTCGGTTTATTGATTTATCGATTTACTCATCTACCACTGATCAAACTGTTATCTCGCCCAGTTGGCTTTAGAGGATAGTGAGTCTCGCAGCCAACTTCGTTAAATGTCAAATGTATTTGATGAAAATTGGTTCAAACGGCGATTTTCATGGAGGAATTTTGTGAAAATTTATTCACATCGAGATGCGTTAGTTTGATTTATGACAGCAAAGTCATTTTAATTAGCGAAATCGATTTCAGTAGAAAAAATTGAAGTAGGAACTGGAATAGAGCCGATTCTTAAAGGTACTCGACTCAGATCGGGCAGCATTTTTCTTCACATTTCTTGATTATCCTTCAACCTAATTGCTCTGCCAGCAAAGAGTTTAAAAGTTATTTACTAAGGGCAATTTTTGGTTGATACTAGCAACTTTGGATATTTTCTTGTCAATCATAAGCTCTTCTTTGCTGCTAATTAGACCGTGTTTTTTTTTCGTTCTAGGAAGGCAGGTCAAAGCTGCATATATTCCACTCGCCAACTACAGTAAAATATTCCCGCAATCAGTCAATGCCACAGACACACTACTCATCAAGAGGAAATCGAGCTTCCGCTGAAAGAGGAAGTTGATCCAGATCCATTGAATGAGAAATTTTCAACTAGATTGATAGATATAATTTTACTGCAGTGTCTGTTTTGTTATCTTCATTTAAAAATACTATCATGTTTTTTTTTATCACATTGAATTATTCAAATACACCAGCTCCATGTCTTTCTGGACACTCTAATCGCCCTTTTGTGCTGAGCGTGTTCTTAGACGACCTTACTTGCAACTAGATAATTTTTTATACTCCTAGACTGTTCCTACTGTTTTTACACAATCGAGTGTAGAGTGATATTGTACGAATCAACTTTTTTTCTAAGTCGCAAACAAAAGTGCTCATTTGGTAGCGCTGCATATCATTTGAAATCTACTAGCATCTGTTCTATCTGCTTTTTCGTGGCTAGTAGCAAACTTATTTTTCAAGGATTATTTTACCTTTTTTCCTATCTAAAGTTTTTAACCCTTTTAGCGCCAGTTTTGACCATTTTCTGGCTTGTTTGCAAAATGCAGTGTCGCCTGCGTTAAATTTTCAAAATTAATTTTACGTCCTACGTGTGCATCTTGCAGTTTAGTTCATAGCTCGATCTTCAGGTATTGGGAATAGCATACACAGGTGGTTTATTGGTTAAGCAACTAGTTTTTTAAACGTTCTTTTAAAGAGTTTTGAATAGCCAGCCTGCTATCGTTAGTTGAATAGTACGAACTTCCTGTTATTACCTAACCTACAAATAAAAATGTCCATTAAAAGTGCTTGTTTGGTGGCATTTTTGCTATAATCACGATCTGTAACATTGGAAATTTCAGAGCCTCTGTTCTCTGCTTTATCTGTGGCCAGTTTGTGATTTATTGAGCGTTCGTGGTTTGTGCGTGAGACTCGTAATCTGTAGGTCGTTGATCGAATCCGAGCATTTTTAATTCATCATATGAACCGTAAAAAGTATTTAATTCCAACAACATCGCAATCATAAAAATTCGATTTCAGAAATATTCTATTTCAATATATCTCAATTTTTTGAAATGCATAGTTCATTACTAATGTGGCTTAATGCTTTGCGATTTGTTTTATGCAAAGTTAGTGACATGTCTTTAGTTTATTATATTCCAAGTTATTTCTTGCAAAATGTATCTATTTGTTATTGTTGCCATTTTTGCTGAATCGCATTGACAGTTTATTAGCATGTGTAGCTTCTCGAATGTACCAATATTTTAACTGTCGACGAGCTGTATTTTTACGAAGTGTTGAAATTGTTATTTCGCTCGCTAGCAAGTTTGCACACAAGTAATTGTTTGACGTCTTTTTGAATTCAATGCATATATTCGAAATACCAGAACATCAAAGTTTGAATCAGGGAAAGATCTAGAGTTTTTTCGAGTAGGAGAGTGATTTTCGAAATAAATCTTTTTAGGTCGACCAAAATGATTTACTTGTCTTTTTTCAAAACCCCTAAAGTCCCTTTTTAATTTTTTTTGCGAACTTTTGAAACTACCGGCCAAAAACCGTTTTTATGGCGCGCGCTCTACTGTTGTTGTGAAATTACTATATATGGCGCCTTCAGTGATCCGAAATGGATATCTGAAATAGTACCAAAAGGGAACCTATGGGTTATAAAGGGGTCAAATTAATGTGGAACCTTAGTTTGAAACTATTTTTAATCCTTGCTTATTCGATACTTCTGGACCAGAGATCAATAGTCTTGTCATCGAAAAGTTTCATGACTCATGTTTTTGCTTCAACGGGCATAATTAATGTGAGCATAAATATAACAATTTTTAAACGCAATATTCTACAGCTATTTACTTCAGCTATTTGTTTGACTCCAATCAATCAGGTCATAGCATTCTCACTTCAGTTTTCATATTTTTAAATTAAGCTGTTTTCGGGCTTATGACAAGATAAATCTAATAAGAGTACTCTTATGATAAGATTCTTTTCTTGCTATGATAAGAATACATGGAATTCCAACTTCAATTTGTGTGCAGTTTTAGAGTTTCGTTATCTAGCATGATCTGTCGCTTTAGTGAACACCAGCCAGTGTGGGACGAAGAGATACGCGATGACGTGTTGGAAGCATTGGCTCCCCACGGAGGGGCAGTGCACCTGTATATAGACAGACAGAACCCCCTCGGAAACATTTACATCAAGGCCCCTGAGCTGAAGAACGCAGAGAGTGCAATCAAGAGCCTCAATGGAAGATACTTCCCAGGTCAGTTGCCTCTTTTAACATCCCTTTCCCCAACTACGAATTTTAACGTCTGGAAACTTTAAACCAGATTGCTATGAAATTTGAAATCCTTGCTAATTATTCAATTACATAAGTTGATAATTTCCTTGGGTCAGGCACAATCCATTTCAGTTTTTGGTAAGGGAAATGGCAAAAGAGCCGGTCAATACTTCTGCTGATCAAATTGGGTTGAGCTAAGTTTGCCGAAGTGTCACTTATTTGCTTATGTTATTGATTGGCTCAATGATACTCCACTTTCTCTTTTATGATCTAGACAGACCATAATCGGTTTATTGATTCATCGGTTTACTCATCTACCACTGATCAAACTGTTAGCTCGCCCAGTTGGCGATAGAGGATAGTGAGTCTCGCAGCCAACTTCGTTAAATGCCAAATGTATTTGATGAAAATTGGCTCAAACGGCGATTTTCATGGGGGAATTTTGTGAAAATTTATTCACATCGAGATGCGTTATTTTGATTTATGACAGCAAAGTCATTTTAATTAGCGAAATCGATTTCAGTAGAAAGAATTGAAGTAGGAACTGGAATAGAGCCGATTCTTAAAGGTACTCGACTCAGATCGGGCAGCATTTTTCTTCACATTTCTTGATTATCCTTCAACCTAATTGCTCTGCCAGCAAAGAGTTTATAAGTTATTTACTAAGGGCAATTTTTGGTTGATACTAGCAACTTTGGATATTTTCTTGTCAATCATAAGCTCTTCTTTGCTGCTAATTAAACTGTGTTTTTCGTTCTAGGAAGGCAGGTCAAAGCTGCATATATTCCACTCGCCAACTACAGTAAAATATTCCCGCAATCAGTCAATGCCACAGACACACTACTCATCAAGAGGAGTTCGAGCTTCCGCTGAGAGAGGAAGTTGATCCAGATCCATTGAATGAGAAATTTTCAACTAGATTGATAGATATAATTTTACTGCAGTGTCTGTTTTGTTATCTTCATTTAAAAATACTACCTTGTTTTTTTTATCACATTGAATTATTCAAATACACCAGCTCCATCTCTTTCTGGACACTCTAATCGCCCTTTTGTGCTGAGCGTGTTCGAATTTTTTAGACGACCTTACTTGCAACTAGATAATTTTTTATACTCCTAGACTGTTCCTACTGTTTTTACACAATCGAGTGTAGTGATATTGTACGAATCACCTTTTTTTCTAAGTCGCAAACAAAAGTGCTCATTTGGTGGCGCTGCATATCATTTGAAATCTACTAGCATCTGTTCTATCTGCTTTTTCGTGGCTAGTACCAAACTTATTTTTCAAGGATTATTTTACCTTTTTTCCTATCTAAAGTTTTTAACCCTTTTTGCGCCAGTTTTGACCATTTTCTGGCTTGTTTGCAAAATGCAGTGTCGCCTGCGTTAAATTTTCAAAATTTATTTTACGTCCTACGTGTGCATCTTGCAGTTTAGTTCATAGCTCGATCTTCAGGTATTGGGAATAGTATACACAGGTGGTTTATTGGTTAAGCAACTAGTTTTTTAAACGTTTTTTTAAGGTTGAGTTTTGAATAGCCAGCCTGCTATCGTTAGTTGAATAGTACGAACTTCCTGTTATTACCTAACCTACAAATAAAAATGTCCATTAAAAGTGCTTGTTTGGTGGCATTTTTGCTATAATCACGATCTGTAACATTGGAAATATCAGAGCCTCTGTTCTCTGCTTTATCTGTGGCCAGTTTGTGATTTATTGAGCGTTCGTGGTTTGTGCGTGAGACTCGTAATCTGTAGGTCGTTGATCGAATCCGAGCATTTTTAATTCATCATATGAACCGTAAAAAGTATTTAATTCCAACAACATCGCAATCATAAAAATTCGATTTCAGAAATATTCTATTTCAATATATCTCAATTTTTTGAAATGCATAGTTCATTACTAATGTGGCTTAATGCTTTGCGATTTGTTTTATGCAAAGTTAGTGACATGTCTTTAGTTTATTATATTCCAAGTTATTTCTTGCAAAATGTATCTATTTGTTATTGTTGCCATTTTTGCTGAATCGCATTGACAGTTTATTAGCATATGTAGCTTCTCGAATGTAACCGGAATATTCAACGGAAAGAAAAAAATAAATCAGTTTCTGAAAAACTATCCCAATTTTTGTCGATATTCAGCAATTGGGCTTTCAATATTCGAAGTAAGCCTGGAGCCGCATTCAGTTTCAGAACAAAGACAAAAAATTTTGGTTGTAGCTTCGAGTTTTTAATGAAAGTACCCGTCATAATACAATTGCAACCCCGTCCCCTTTAAAAAATTTAAATTTGGCTCATTAGAAAAATTCTGATAAATCTACTTGAATTAAGTGTTGATGAGTGATTAGCAATTTCTTTACAAGTGAACAAAATAAGGCGTGAAAACTGTCCGGAAAGATCTAAGTTTTTCATGCCTCAAAGTTGTCGCACAATTTTGAAATTGCTTATGCCATTTGGGATATAATTTCTTTTTATGCTATTTGGTAAGTTACCGTTCTAACACAGTAAGGTTTTTAAGTATTTTTGGCTCATATGTATACACGCATTTTTGTCTTTTTATCGTTTTTTGTTAATTCAACTTCGATTATTCCGATATTGTAATTGGAATTTTTAGTTAAGATAAATTATTACGGTCATTATACATTCAACAAATTTTATCAAGTTCGGTAGAATACAAGACGTTTTTCCTTCTAACCAACTCTAACAATAATTGCTGCTTTTTGCAAATGGATGCTTGTTCTTTTTACCGCAAATTAAGTCGTGGTAATCAATTTTTTTGATTTTTCTTTCCTAAGCAGTGAATTTTTTGATTTTTTTTTCGTGTTTTCTCAAATTAATTTGGTTGTTGGCTGTAAAATTGCTTCCGCTTTTTGATTTTAGTTTAGTTTTTTGAAGTGGTTGTTTAATGCACAATTTCTGGTGATTGAAGAACACTTGCTTTGTGGTGAAAGAAAAATAGGTATTATAGAATGTTAGGTTGCTTCTCTGTTCATACTTCCTCCGCTCAAATCTTTTATGACTTTATTTTGGCTAATTAATTAAAAGTCGATGACCGTAGCTCTGGCTCTTAACAGGTCGTGATGATTTTTTTCAGGATTTTTGATTTCTTTTGACGTTTGATTTCTGCTTAAGTTCAGTGCTTTTCCATTGTTAAAAGGATGGTAAACTCCACTATCGATGAGCGCAAGTGTTTAAGTCAAGAAAAACGTTCAGTTTCGAAAGTGGATTTAATTATTGAACTTCCCCGCGAAATAAAATTGTTACTTACTGATACAATTTTCTCAAATTAGGTTGATTTTATTGAAAAAATGTCAATCATAAACTGTTCTAGAATTTCAAAGAGCTTTAAGCCCATGTTTTTTTTCGGAAAATAGAATTTTGAGATTTTTTGAAAAAAATAAGTCAGTATTTTTTCTGTTTACTTGCGTTCATTGACTCTTTTCCAACTGTCTATTGGCAAGTTACCTCACATCAAATTTTACCCGAAGAAAGTTATACAAGAGCCAACAAAGTTAAGTTGTTCGGATGAGGAAGGTACAATTTTTTGACAGCTGTCTAACGTAAACGTTTCTTGTTGAAGCAGTACAATAGTTGCTGAACAACAAATTTTTGGTTGCGGTTTTGCAATAGTTTACGTGAGTTATGATCGGTGACTGGAGAACTTGAAAGTCATCTTTATCTTACCTAACATAAGTCAATCTCCAAGTGAGAGCTCTGGCTGTTCAATAAAAGTTTGTATCTTATTTTTAGGTAAGTAGAATAAGCAGCTGATGACAAACCAAATGGTCACCTGAATCACGTATAATTTGCCACATTTGTTTCTATCTAGCACCGTGTTTTTCATTAGCCCCCGGTCCTGCTCAATGCAGGACCAACCGTAGGGAGGGTGATGTCATCCATTCCGCCACAGCCGGTCCCACCTTGAGGAGCCGGATGACTCTGGGATCCCTCCAACCGTAACCGAAGTGGGATTCCGATATCTAGCACCGTATCTAATTCCGATGTTTTTTCGTAAATAGTTTTTTTTGTAAATCGAAATTTGTCTTATTTTCTGAACAGTATAAGCAAATGATGACTTGATGGGCTATGAAAGGATTATAGTTCTTTATGTCAATCACAACACTTGAGAAAGAGCGTTCAGCTAAGTTTGACAGCAATATGCTCGAGCAATAAAATTGTTGTCAATCTTCTTTTTCTCAGTTTTTAAGTTAAGATTCTTATTAAATCTGATGTAATGAAAAAGTTACTCAGTTTTTTTTTCGGAAACTTCTGACTGATTTGGTAAACGTGGAAACTTTCACCGATAGATTTGCTGGTATGAAAATTTGCGGGGAAAGTTTTACGGAAAAAATATTCAAACTTACGAACAACGTTAAAGTTTGCTCCTTGAGTTTTTGACCCGGCGATTCAACTCATAAATTTGTTTTTGAAGTAGAACTCTCCATTGTTTCAAAAGTTGTTGTACGTATAGTTTGTTACATAGCTTGCTTAAAGGTTTTGTTCTTTTTTTCTGATAGCATGCTTACTTTTGGTTGACAGTTTGAGCAATGAAAAGTGATCTATGAAATCGAGCTAGTGTTAAAAGTTTCCTTGTATGAGAATTTCGCTGAAAATTGCGTTTAGTTGTTTGAAATGTTCAAGCTGAATTGCATAAATTTAAAGTGTCATCGGTTGAAAAACTTGCTAAAAATTTAAATATTGGGCGCTTGATTTTTTTGGACAGGAAAGATATTTGGTATTGAATTGTTTACTTGAGAAGGTTGAATTCTTGTTCAAATGTCTAAGTCTATAAAGTTAATTTGTAAAATATTGAAAGTTCTGAATTTCAGAGGGCTGTTTTGAAAGCTTTTTTGGTGCTTTTTTGGCTTGAAATCTTGCGTTTTAAGTGAGTGTGTATGCTTTTGAACTGAAATTCAACAATTTCAAAGTCTCCTTGTTTGAATTGCTTGGTAGCGTGACTTATGTTTTTGGCGAAACTTTATAGGCAATGAGAGAACGTTTAATTATGGTTTTTACAAGTTTTTTGTTGCAATTCTTAAGTTTTTTGGCAAATGAGGAAAGGCTTTCTATTTTTTCTTCCTTTACTTTTTACCATTGCGATAAGCGAACGTTTGCGTTTTTCACGAGACTTTTTTCTCGTGAATGACTTTGTTCGCTGAATTCGCACATGAAAAATGTTACTTTTGTTTCACTTGCTTCATTGTTATGTCAAATTCAAAGAGAATTCTGCCATTGAAGCAGTGATTACACCCATGCTTGAGACGGCAAAAGAAGTTTTTTTAATAAACTTTAACTTGAAATTTCTCAAAATTTGAAATTCCCAACGCTGTACTTGGGTACTGTCAGAGTACTCTCAGAAATCGCAAATGTTGCGTTCAAATGCGACTGCTCAATTGCTTTTGTTTTCCGAAAAGTGACGCTTTTATGTCATTAAAAAATTTTCAAAGAATGCAATTATAAAAAACTTGAAATTACGATAATCGGGTGCTGTCAAAGTACACTCAAAGATGCAGATCTTATTTCCAATAGATGCAGTTTTTTATGAGTTAATAAAACTTCGAACCACCGGAGGTGCGTTACACGATAGTTTGATTGATTTCGAAAGATATTAGTGACTCAATTTTAATGCAATGTTTTTCAAAATTGATCATTCAATTGATTTTGCTGCAATTACTTTTCCGAACATGCGTTTATGCTTAGATACAGATTGTTTTTTTGTCGCCTAACTTTCTTGTACTAATGTAACTTTTTTTTTCAGTTAGGCCGAGTTAAGTGATGAAATACAACTTTGTGATGGGTATCGACACACTTTTTTTGTGAACTGATGGTTCGTAGTTGTTTTTTTTCTGGCTGAAAACAAAATACTATGTAAGTCTTAATTGACGTCAAAGCGTGAAATGCTAGCCTCAAAATCCAATGTGCTCCTGACAGTGCACAGATGAAACTTGTCGAGAAAAGGGGATTTTAAGGGCGATAGTTGAACTACCGGGGCTGTACGTTATCTCAAAATCGTTGCAGTTTTGGTTTCGATATCGAAAGTATATATACATTTGTACTTTGAAAGCAAGAAAAATGGTTACTATTGAAACGTATTGTGGAAATTGATCTATTGGATTGTTTTTCAGAGTGAAATGACTGGGCGGAACTCCAATGAAATCAAGGACAAGGTGATACTAAATAAGCATACAGTGGACTTCACGACTGGCACTGACTTTCCAGGAAACTACCCGCTCTTACCAGACAAGCCCTGGAACGCCTCCGAGTATGCAGGTTACTTATATTTTAATAACAAGGGGGAAGGAAGGAGTCTATATTTTATATGTATGGCCTTTCTTCTTTGAACTTCTAATATTAACTACACCATTCTATTGAAGTTGGATGAAATCCTATCCAACATGACCGCTGAAACGACGACGAAAAGTTTCTTCTGATCTTTAAAAAAGGATAAATTTTAATAGAATTTCCTTTCGGAATAAAAGAAAAGATTAACCAGGTTTTCTCAGATAGGGCGAAGTTTTGGAAAAATTATATATTTCATTGAGTATCTTGCAAGTAGTAATTAGGGTAATTTCAGTAAGTTTAAACCATGAAGGAAATTGTTCCTAACTTGAAGTGACTTTTTATCAGAATATCCAGTGTTTTTTTAGGAAACGTAGTGATGGAAATAGTCAGTGAGGAGGACTTGGCTACGTTGGAGTTCGACATAATGTACACTGATGCGCCCATTGCCAATGCATTGAGACGAGTGCTTCTCTCGGAGGTCCCGACGGTGGCTATTGGTAAGTCGATCAACTACTCGAAGTTATCAGGGATAGCAGGTCGCTGTGCAACAAGCACAGAAATTTCTGACCACATTTTTTTCCTTCAAATTTTGTCGTTTTTCGTTTGTGGTGCGATGAGATAATCTGAAAAAAGCCTAAAACTTGGATATATTCGGTGATATCTGTGTTTTAGGCATTTTGAACAACAGCTTTCTTCAAAAACTGAATAAAAAAAAACTGATTTTTTAAAATTTTTCCAGTAATTTTTTTATTTCAACGATGGAGCGAAAAGTGAATTAGAAATATAGTTCAACTGGAGTAAAACCAAGTTTTTACGGGTTAAGTAAAAAACTTTCACTTTATTTTAGGCATGCTTGCTCGCCTTATTTGATCGAAATTAGACCAAAAGTTTCAAACGGGTTTTTCTGGACACATCGAAATTTGATGATTGTTTGTGGGGCCTGATTTTGCGTGGAAAAAACTATTAAAGAAATAAAACACCTGAAGGCAAATTTCCTCTCCACTTTCAGTGCTCGGAACAATGACTATTTTGTATTGACATAAGCCAATGGTTGTGTCATTATACTTGTTCACTTTTTCCATCGCGCATTTTTGTGTCAGTTTTTCTGTCCAATTTAGAATACCTTTTTTCTGCTCTTCATTTTTTGAAGCACAACCTTTGCCGCTTGTGCTATAACAGGCCAGCGTTTCATCTGATACTTTCATGCGATTTATTCCCGAGTCTTACCGTTGGTAGAAAATCCATAATTAAAGTAGTTTTAGATGCGCGAGCATATCAAGTTTTTAAATAGTTTCGAGTGGATTTGATTTGAATGAAGAATTTCTAATGAATGTTTTGTAAGAAGAATATTGTTTGTAACACCAGGAATGCTTCTGAAGTAAATGTAGTAATTGAATGCCTTTGAAGTGCTCGTAGAAAAAACTTCAACTCTTCAAATTGCAATTATGTTTTGCAGAAAAAGTGCTCATGTACAACAACACCTCAATAGTACAAGATGAAGTGCTGGTGCATAGACTGGGTCTGGTGCCCCTGGATGTGGATGCACGGAGGCTGGAGTGGAGGAAGGGAGCCTCGAGTGACAACAAGGATAGAGACAACATAGAGCCAAACAGCAGAGACACTGTCGTGTTTGACCTCAAAGTACGATGCACAAGAAACAGAACTGCCAAGAAAGGTCAGTCAGTATGTTAATTTCAGGCGCGTTTAAGCCCTCCATCCTCCAGAAATTCGCGACAAGGCTGTTTTTCTTTGATATTTTTGTGACATCCCTTCATGATGTCATTCATTCTAATTAATCATTTGAACCGAATAGATTACATAATTCACCTTGATGATAAAATAGAGCTGCATCATATATTTATTTAACTATGTAAACATTGATGGTAATTAATACCAATCATTGGAATCTTATATCGAGCTAGAAATCAATTGGAGACAAATCAACTGAATAAAATATTCTAATCATGCTCTTACTTGCGCCGATCGGCTTGCGAGATATCAGAAGCTAGGAATCGGAACCAGCATCCTTTTAAAGCAAGATAGGTCTTAACCGCTCGAGACATATCTAAAATAATGAATCCAATCTAAATACAATTGATAGCCAGTAGCGCTAAATAAAATTACCAACTGAACAGCTCGCATTAAACTAAACGACAATATATCCGTATTATCCATCCGCCAGATACGGTATATTATATGGTGACTTTCGCGGGAATTTCTACTTCTGGATTCAAAACAGTCATCGGCAATTCCAAACATCATAATTCGAGCAGAAAGTGACAACAACTTTGCTGTCGCAGAACAGCGAAAAATAGCTTGATCAGCACAGCAATGCTCAGATGTTGGCGGCAGAGCAACAGTCATTAAACAACTAACAGAGAAAGAAAGGAAAAGAAGACACTCACAACTTTTCAACATCTCTGGGCTGACAACTTCCCCAATCTACAGAAGCAGATATGTGGATTGTGTCCTACAACTTCTCTACTTTTGGCTCCAGTCAGATGGTATGTCAAGCGAGCTTCTGACAAGGCAGAAAAGGAAGTAGATGAAAGGTTTTCAACGCCAAAACATTTAGTAAAACAGATAAACTCAAAACTCTCAACTGCAGTAAATTGATATTGTAACTAATAAGTTCCCCAACCAAAAAAAAGTGAAGTAACGGAAATATTAGCAAACCTGATGGCACTAATAACCAAAAACAGAATAGCAAAAGCTGCATAAAGTATAAATAATCCAAAATTGCGAAAGTCTAGCAAAATTTTCGTGTAATCCACTTAAATTGACGAAGTGCTGTGCTTTGTCATCAACTGTTTCATAAACTCGTTATTCATTCAACTGTAATAAGATGGCCCACGCGCAAATTTCGGTCGAACCTTACGGAGGAACGGAAACAGATGACTTTCAGCAGTTTGAGCAATTGTTCCGAGGATACATCGGAGTAGCGGGAATTGACCCTGGCCAACAAGCGAACTTCTTACAACTACATCTACGAGAAGCGGCACTACGGTTTTACCAGACGCTGCCAGCAGCAATCAGAGCGAACGTGGAGAACAGCTTCACAGCTCTAAGGGATCACTTTTGCAATCCGCAGCTCCAGGAAGTCCACGTACTGAAGTTAGAACAGCTCCGGTACGACTCCAAAACCGATTCACCCGAGAACTTCTTGGTGAACTTGACGAATAAAGCGCAACGAGCGTATCCAACGCCTGATTTGCCAGCTGTCGACCCAATCGATGTTGCATTAAACGGAGCACCATTAGTAGCAGACACGGCGAGATTTCATCGAGAAACTGCACAAAGACAAAAAAGAATAGATGCAGTAAATGATAATCGCAATGAACAAATTAGACGATTGTTCATAAAAGGAATGCCAAACTGGCTGCAATCAAAATTGATGGAGCAACTACAAGCAACTACTGTCCAAGAATTGTGTAATTTGACAAAGAAGCAAATCATGATTCGAGAAGTATGCCGAAAAGAAGATTACCCGGAAGACAGATTTAATGAAGTAAATGACAGAGTCTCAGAAAATTTAATCAGTGCTCTCACAAAATTGTCCACAAATCAGGAACAAATTGAGAAGCAGATCAACGAAATGAGATCACAAATAGCTGAGCAGTCAAAGAAACAATCGAATCCGCCTTTTCAACAAAACAAGAACAGCACCAACCAAAATGGTCAGTTTAGTGGTAATCAAAATCTAAATAATTTGCCTGGACAGCAACAAAGTGGCAGGAAAGGAAAAAACAGAAATAATTGGCAAAATCAATTTGGATTTAGCAATAATCAGCCTAATTTCCAAAATATGGGACCAATTGCACCTCAGCAATATCCTCCATGGTACCTATACCAACAGTACCAAAATATGCAGCAAAATCAACCGATAGTGCAAATCCAACCAGCACAGGTACAGCCAAACGCGAACTACCTGGAACAACAACAACACTTCACTGGAAATCAGACAGCGCAAGCTGAAATTCAATTTCCCGGTGGACCTTTTGCACCAAGGGTTCGACCACCAGCAAAACGCTGCGACATTTGTGGAAAGTTTTATCGCACAGCAAGTCAATGCTGGTGGAGACAAAAACCACGAGGACAAGATGCAACGCTCATGTTTCCAAATGAGCCAAAAAACTAATAAAGCCACCGAGTCAGCCCCCCAAATCATCTAAATCATCAAAACAATCAATTCAATCCGATGAGATAATCAACCTTTACGCAATAATTCCAGCGGAAGGAACAGTTTTGACCTACACAAAATTGCGATTCTCATTGGGATTACAAAGAAGAGCCCTGGTTGATACAGGAGCCTGCGCAAATGTCATTTTAAAACAGACCTTCGACGACTTAAAAGATGAAAAATCTCTATACCGCCCTCTTAAAATAATTGAATCGAAACTTACCAGAGTACGAATGGCAGGAGGACAACTCGTGCCAATTGAAACAGAAGTAACAATAGAATTTAGATTGGCAGATATGACATTTGTAGAATCTTTTCTCGTTCTACACGCGGCCAACTCAATAATTGTAGGAAATCCGTTCTACAAAAAACACCACATTCATATCTGTGCCAAGTATAATTTACTTCATTTCCCAGACCTGACTCTGCAAATTAACGAGATAAAACCTCCAAACGAACCTAGAAGAATTAATCGAGTGAAAAAATTCCCTCTGACTTACAAAACGTCAAACAATAGCTCCGCATCAAACAATTCTTGTAGAATGTCATTTAAAGGACGCATGCCAGGACATGGCAAAAACAACCGGAATCGTAATTCCATCGAAAGAATTTGAAGAAAATTGCAAAATTGCATTCACTTCCTCAATTAGTGAAGTTCTGAAAAATAACCTGCTGTACATCACTGCATTTAACATCACTGATCACCACGTGACATTGCCTTTCAAAACTGAAATTGGAAAGTTTTCAATTCTGACCCTAAAAGAAGCCGAAAATCTCATACCAATTGATGCAGAAATGCTTGCTTTTGCAAAAATGAATAATCCAGACGATATTGAAATGGGCATTAACGAGCTAATTCACCAAAATGGTGATAATCAGCAGTCTCAACAGCAACGTCAACCCGAGTATGAAAAATTTTGGTTTCCTACACCTGAAACATGTCAAAACCCTGAATTACTTCCACAAATCCAACGTGACATTTACGACCAAATTCTTCATTTTCAAGGTCTCGAAAAAATTGAACTGAAAATAAACTTTCAAGATCGATTGACATTTATCAAGAATTTTAAGTGAGAGAATTCGGTGTTGACACAAGAGCAAAGGTCAAAAGTAGAAGATTTGCTTGTTGAATTTTCGGACATCGAATCGGAGATTTGATGTTGGTTACAATTCCGATCTCAAAATCAAACTGAAACCGGAACACACACGACCTTTGTACACACAAGGCCCACCTACGCCGATACATTTGCGTCAAGAATTGACAGTGGAACTTGCCCTAATGCACTATTATGGACTTATAACAACATTGTCACATTCAAAATATAGCAGCCCATTGTTTGCGCATCGAAAACCATCTGGTAAATTGCGGATGTTGATTGACCTCAGAAGGATAAATCATTCACTAAAGAATGACTATATCAACAGCAACTTTCCGATCTCAAACATGACCGATGCATCAAACCACTTTGCAGGAAAGAGCTTGTTTTCCAACCTTGATTGTTCGCAAGCATACCACTGTGTACAAATGGCAGATGACCTTTCAGTCCAACTTCTGGCATTTAATTTCGGTTCACGAACTTATGCATACAAATGCCTAGCTCAAGGTCTAAGCAAATCAGTAACGGGTTTTAGTTCATTCATACGTCACTATCTTGATCCATGCTTAGCAGCCGACTTATGTACACAGTTCACGGATGACATAGGAAGCGCAGTGAACAATTTTGATGAACTAATACCGACTCTTTCAAAAATCTTTGAATGTGTACGGAAGTCAGGATTAAAATTATCACCGAATAAATGCGAAATAGGAACACAACGAATGAAATTTCTTGGTAATATAATTACACCAGCAGGAATATCACCTGAACAAGAGAAAATTTCGACGTTCCTTAAAAAAATTAAAATGCCGCAAACTGTAAAACAGGTTAAACGACTAATCGGATTTGTTCAATTCTTCCGGAATTATATGCCAAGCCTAGGTGAAAAACTGATACCATTTTATCGCCTACTCAGAAAAGATATAGCATTTCAAACAAATGAGGAGCATCAGAAAAGTCTCGAAGTACTAAAACATGATCTAATCCAGGCAACGGAAATAACGCTCCGCTTACCAAAACCAGGATTACGATACGTAATACTCTGTGATGCAAGCTATCATGGAACAGGTTTCGTGCTAATGGTTGAAGACTATGTGAAAACTGATAATAAAGGCGAAATGAAAACATATGCACCAGTGTCATTTGGTTCAAGACTCTTCAACACAGCACAACTGAAGTTCTCCATCTACTATAAAGAGTTTTTAGCACTATACTTCGCTCTCGATCATTTTCTCATTTCATCTGGGGATCATCAAAGCCTTTGATAATACTGACTGACAATCGAAGCTTAACACAGTTTTTCCAAGCGAAGACAATTCCACCTTCAGTCTGGAATTTCCTGGATCGCGTCATGGCATTCAACATCATTATCGCACATATACCTGGAAAAGCGAATTA